GTTCGTATAGGGGAAAAAAAAAAATGAGGGGGTAGAGGGGGGAATCAGCGCTGGTCTGTGGAGGGCTCCATTGCACTGGTGGGAAGCTGGAAGAGAAGTTGATTTCACCAAGAGCCGTGTGGCCCCTTGTGTTATCTGCTGGGTGAGGTCCTCGTGGTTTCACAGCACCATTTCCCTCACCCCAAAACCCAAAGTTCCTCCTCCTCAGGAAGGGGAACAAGCAGCCATTAGGGATGAAAGCACGAGTTTTGCCATCGTTCGTCCATTAACTAATCACTCCTCCTGCATGACACATGCACCAATTCATCATATGTGATCGATACCTTCCTGCATGCCCCGGGATGATGAACGTCCCCACTGATATTCAAAAGACCTTGAGAAAACAGGGGGCAGCTCCCCAAGCACGGGTCAAAGAGCTGGGACTGAAGTGCTCTGTAAGATGAGATGCTATCCCAGGATCTCTCTGTACGGGACAGAGGAATTAATTTGGTTAGGAAGCTTTTCTCAGCTTGATGGAAGACGTGAGGTCATGCAGGCGCTGGAAGTCCAGCCAGTGTCATATGGTTGTGTGGACCATCAGCCCAAACACCCGGTTCCTTTTTGGGGTGCAGATGTGCCCTGTTCAATCCCATGCCAGAAAAAGAAAGAAGCGACCCGAATTTCAGACACCGGAGGAGAAGTGAAAAATGAACCCTTTGAGACAGAGGTTTGTTCTGCAGAGCCTCTCGTTTTGCCCTTAAGAAGTGCTGAGAAACAAGAAAGCTCCTCCAGCAGTGGTCCGGTTAAAAATAATTGCTGCCCAGAATTCTCTGCCTGGCAGAAGTAATTAGATAACAGGGCTCTTACGAGCTGTCGTTCCCTACGAGCATATTTTAACAGGCCTTCATAACATGACTTTTATATCTTCAGCATCCCCATCCACTCTCTGCCCCTGCAATGGATTTATTGCTGAAAACCACTGTGTGATTAGCCATCCGCAGGCAAGGAGCTGCCCAGGATGCTGCCCCATCCCCTGGGACCCAGAGGACAAGCACAACACCGTGGTTAAACCCTTTGCAACACTCACTGCTAAAAATCAGATCCACTCTTTGCACCGATTGGAAATGGCTGGTGGCACCAGGAGAGGTTGGGAAGAGAAAGACTGTTGGGACCTCAGCACTGAAAAACAAAATATCTAAGGCAAGGTAGACAATTTTCTTTCCCTTTTCTTTCTTTTTAACGAATTTCAGGCTTTAGTAGGCTCCTTCCTCCCACTGACATCCCTTGAGAAGCAATTTGACTTTACTGGAGCTGTCAGATTTCCGCAAGATGAGATTTTCCCTTTTATACTTTGCTCAATATTTCCTATCAAATCTACGTGTTGTTTTTTTTTTTAAAAAAAAACATTTCCAAACTCCCCTCGTGGCTGATGGATTTGTTTTTCTTTCGCTGTCATAACTCTCTTCAAGATATAAAGACCCCAGATTTTAAGAGAAAGCAGGGATTGCCAAAAATTTACCACTTGTATTTACTGCAGTGGTGTCTGAGAGACTCCTGCTAAGCCAACGTCTCTTTGCTCCTTGAAGTCTATGCGCCGATGTAAAGCCATGAAGCTGCCATGGGAAAGCAGCCAAGGCACTGACAGTTTCACATTCAGTACTCAGAAGTCAATTCCTTGGTTCTTTTAGATGCAACAGGCACCTGACCCCCGCTGGCACACCTAGCAGCAAATTGCATGTCGTGTTCAATCAGTCCCCACCCAAGGATCTCCTTGGGAATCAGGCAGTCCTCAGTCAGGTGGTGATGCAAGAGGATGATTTAAAAATAAAAGCCTGTTCCTATCATCAAAGAGCAAAGCATGGGAAAAGCCTGGGCTGAAACCCACAGCTCTGAGCCATGCGCCTTGCAGGGGGCTCCAAGGCCTTAGTACCTGGGGACCTGTCATTGATGGAGAAGATGCTGTATCACCCATTAGACAAGCCTTGCTGCCCAGTGCTGCCTTCCACTGGCCCTCAGTTCATCTGCCATGGTTACCTGCTGGTGGCCAGATCTGAAGAGCTGAGGACCATCAGCCCCACAGAAGAGCCAGGGCTGCGCTCAGACCTAAACTGCTTTCAGAAGCACTTCAGATAGAAACAGCCGCTGCTAAACAGAGCTGCTTCTCATCAGGTAGGTGAAGCTAAGAGTCCCTTTGGGATTTGCCTCTCCCACGAGTTTGTCTGTTTTCAAGGGATGCAGAATAGCTCTTAATAGGATTCAGGGCTGGTTTATCCATCAAGGACAAAAATCCCACAATGAGACAATATCACGGAGAGATTATCCTGTGTTCTCTGAAGGAGAGATCACAAGATTATTCTGAAGTGAGGCTTGTTTGTGTTGAGCTAATGACAGATAATTGGTAACCCCCTCTGCATAGCCAGGTGACCCAGCACGCTCTCAAAGGAGAAAAGCAGCAGCATTTCCAAAGGAAAAGAATCCAAGGTCTGATACGGGTTCCATCCAAAAGAAAAACTTCTGGAAAGGATCAGGGCAAGGCCATGAATTTATGAAGTAGTTGTTTGGCTGACTTTAATTTTTAAAGCATTATTATCCTTTTAGCAGGACTGTCGGGTAGATGGAAGCCAGGCCTGCGTGATGAAGAGCAGCTGAGCAGCGATTTGCAGCAATCCCTGTGGAGCAGTGAGCCAAACTGCTTGGGAACAGCTTACCCCAACCTGAAACACTGCAAAAGGGGGAACTTCTGCACTTGTGCTCTGAGGAATGAAGAAGCAGGACAAAATGGGATGAGGAACACTGAGGCATTGCCTCAAGGACCTCGATACAAGGATATAAAACGATCAGAAGGCATCCAAAAGAGGGTTATGACGATGGGGAAAGGGTCCGGAAGGCAAAAGGTGTGAGGAGCAGCTGAGGTCTCTTGGTTTGTTTGGTCCAAAGAAGAAGAAGAGATGAAGGAAGGCCCCATGGCCCCACAGCTCCTGTATGGCCCCACAGCTCCTGTATGGCCCCACAGCTCCTGCCCCTCTGTGGCCATCCAGGCGCTCAGATTGCACCTTCCAAATAATGCAATCAAAACAACTGGGCTAAAAGCATTCCATCTGGCTGAGGCTGACGTGAATTGTTTCTAATAAAACGAAAGCTCCGTGGGACAGCTAATGGGTGCTTATTAGTACAGCCGATGGACTATTCAATCAACCATGGAGGGAAACTAATGGGGATTGATGGCTAAAACACAAGATGAGAATTTACCTCTTTAAATAAATAGCTCATGGCTGGTGGTTGGATTAATCTTGGGTGCATACGTGTCCCATGGATGCAGCACCCATCCCATAGAAAAATTCCTTTTTTTTTCCTGATTTTTTTCTACTTTTTTTGCTCGAGCTGGTGGAGGAATGGAGTGATTTGGAAAGAAAGGGCACACGCACCTTTTAGGCTTGTAGTCACTCTTCCCTGCAGCAAACCACCCCTGTATTTCAACCCCCTGCTACACCTCCCATTCCCTACCCCTTGGAACACCTCCAACCAGATTACAGATGGCAATTCCTACGTGACAGATCCCAGTGTCACTACTGACGATGGATCAGATGTCCATGCAGGCATACTGCTCCTTTTAATCCAAAATTTATCAAGAGCTTCACCTTGGAGGTTTAGGGAGGTGAAAAGGTAACTTCCTTGGAATAGGGCATGCATTTCTTTCCCTCTTGTCCCATTTTTCCCTGTCCTTTCACAGCAGCACGGCTATGAGCGACTCAACCCCACACCAAAGGGGTCCTGCTCCAAATAGCAACGTCATCAAAATGCTTTAAAAACCCATCCTGAACTTCGCAGGGTGGTGTGATAAGGACCTGTATGAGCATCTAGACTTTGCAGCACGCTGTTGCTCAATGCTGTGCCGAGATTCCCAAGTCTGGGACAGCCCAGGCAAGAGAAAGAGAGAAGTTCTACCTGACAACGTTTTTGCCCAGCTGCTAAATACAGCACATGATGTTGTATACAAGACAGTGCAGCACACCAGCTGTCTCACACAGGCTGGTGGGGAGCAGCGAAGGAAAGGGATGCTCTGAGCAGGCAGAGCGGCTGCCTCCAGGTTAGATGCATTGCTGCCATCATCCGGCAAACAGAACCAGCACAGGGGCACGATCCTGCTTGGGGCAAGGAAAGCGCCCTTTAGGGCCACAAATAGGAGCATGGCAGCAGACAGGGTGCTGTGGGAGGCTGCTGCCACCTGCACTGAGAACTTCAGCTTCCTTTGGAGCCTCTCCAGACTGTTCCTCTGGGGACAGAGACCCATGTTTCAGCTGTGCAGGCCCCCAGCAAACAGCCTGGGTCTGCTCTAAGGGTTTGGCTCTATCCTCACAGCTCTAGCCTGATGTTGAGAGAGGTGCAGAGTGAGGTTTGGCCACGGTTCAGCTAACCTGCTATTGCAGACAACGTGGTTTTGGCCAGAGCTACACGAGGCTTCTGGACCTTTCGCGCTCCCGTTTCCCTTTCTGCAACAAAAACCCACAAAGATAAACCTTGGCAGTTGCCTCTGGTGTGAAGGAAAACAGAACCAGTTCTCAGATCTGATGCAGCTGAGGTGCAGCAAAATCCCCGTTTTTGGAACCATCAGACAGAACACAAAGGCCTTCCCCAGCACTGAAGGTCCCTGAGCATTTCACTTCTTACACCTGATTTCTATTTTTCTCCCACGTTCCTTCTCAGCTCAGAGTCAGGTTTTGGGGCAGGGTCACTAGAAAGCAACGCATGAAGGAATCCACTCTGGGGTTCACAGAATTGCTCAGGTTGGACAAGACCTTCAAGGTCATCAAGCCCAGGCACAACCTAACCATACTACCTGTATGGGAACTGTTAAGTCATGGCCTGAACCACTGATTGAGCACCTGGGAAAGGACCGGTCAGCCCTGGGAGCACAGGTGAAGGCGATTCAGCTGTGAGACAGGAAGGGGTGGAACCCAACTTCACCTCTCTTAGACCTCATTTAAGGACTGACTGCTGCTGGGGAAGGATCTGTGGTTGGAGGTCCCTCTGTTGTGGAGCTTTCTTGTGAGCTTAGATCTTCAGAGACAGGTGAGCACTTTCTCTTTGTAACACCATCCTGTTTGTGTTAGTCCCTTTTACTGTTTGTCCTGTATCACCTTTCCACTGTGTTAATCTTTTTGACTGTAAGGCTACCCTCATTCTAGCAACCCACCAGGCAGCTTCCCACCTGAGGACAGGTATGTGAGTCCCATTTGTAAACCCCAGCAGTGCCTTTGGTTCTCTTTGAGCCCCTACCACATCTCCTTGCCCTGGCTGTAGGAGCAGCAGCCACAGAGGAGCACTGGTGGCCAACCCATATTGCCAAGCCTGAAGGGGCAAACTTCAAGCTTCAGAGCACTGGGCTGCTGTACTGCAGACATCTGTAATCAGATGAGGAACTCTGGTCCACATCAAACACCTCACCCCGTGCTGAAACGTGGCAATGCAGGACTAAAGAGAGACTGATGGAGATGATGTGTTTTGCCAGCAGAGCAAGCCCAACAGTGCTGTTCCAGGACACTGCTGCCTTCCATGCTGCCCTGCAGGCCAGCTCCTCACCTGCCTTGCATCAGAGCCCATGACCCAGAGGTGAGTTGCTGTATGTCCCACCTCCAATCTCCCACTGTGTTCATTTCCCAGCATGGCAGATTAAAGAGTGCTGTAAGGAGCAGATCTAGCAAAGGCACAGTGCCCTGAGGTAGATGCAGCTCGCTTTTATGTTCACTTTTAACAAGTGGACTCCTTCCTATTGTTCAGCAATTACTTTAAAACAGAAAATCATCAGATTTCCCCACAATGTGAAAAAAAATCAGGCCATCGTAAATCTTAAAACATGCCACTATCTGCACAGTGCATGTACTGCACTGGGGAAAAGGGAGCCAGGCCAAACCCTGCAGCACTTATAAGCAAAGGACAAAAAAAAATTAAACCCTACAAGAGGGAGAAAAAGAGAGATAAATAGTTTACATCTATTATCTTTACCATATGTTCCCTTCCAATGGCATACACACAAACAGCATGTAATCTTCAAGCTCAGCTTTAGGCTCTTTGAAGTGACCTGAGCGTACCACTGATTTATTTCCAGCTAACCTTTCTCTTTGAACCCTGGGTCAAGGTTAATTCCATAATAAAACATACCTCATACAGCTGGCTTTTCCAGCCTTACCAGCCAGTAACGAACCCCTCAGCCATAAGCATTTGTTTTACTGAGTGTAGTATTGTATTTCTATTTTCCCTTCCCTATATTAATTTCCTTCACAGGCCCTAGTTAAGGAGGGGAAAAAAATCTCTTTTCCGGTCCGTGAGATCAATTTTAAACACGCTGGAATTAAATGAAGACATTTAAGCCCTGTTTCTACGCTGAAATGCATCCACCGACACCAGAAACTATTTTTATTACAGCCTACGTTAAATAATCAGATCTTCAGTTTCATGAGGAGCAGAACAGCAGTGCTATTCAATCTGCTGTGCTGGCAGTGACCCTCTTACAAAGCCATCTTTGCACCGAGCCGCAGCAAAGCACCGAGGGCAGCTTTCCTATCTAGCAAAAACAACACGGGAAAAGGTAAACAGGTTTGAAGGGCACTTGTCTGAGAGAAGAAAGAGGACAGCTGCTTGCCCATGCCACAGCCAGCCCTGCAGCAATAGAACACACAAGGATACATCTCCCTTAAAAGCACCACCGAAAGCTTTCCATACTTCAGCAAAGTGGCTGCTCTGTGAAATGGGGTTTCATCCAACGGAAGAGGAACAGGAGCAGATAGCCGGCTTCAACACAGCAAACTTGTTATCAATAGCTGTCATTGCCCAACTTGGCCCAGCTTGCTGTAATGGAAGCTCTGTCCATTGGAAATTCAGAGGTAGGGAGCAGTTGGGGATCAGTGCTCTCAGAATTTCCATTGCCAACATTATAATGGTTAATGTTTTAGTCCTGTTGGGGGCTAATTTCAAGTCATTGATGACCCTATGTGCACCAGTTGTGACACTCAGACAAGCCTCCATCAATGCACGGAGTTCATGTGGGTTTGCAGCATCTGGAAAGGGTGGAATCCAGATTCCAAACCTTCACCCCAAGCCCACACAACAATCACATCCAGTGTGGTAAGAAGGGAAAGCTAGCACTGAGCTCACAGGATGGGTTTAGAGACAAATTGCATCCAGCAATTTGAGTGATGTAAAGCAAAGCAGCCTTTACAATCAGCGTGCTTCTGTGCTCACAGTCACAGCATCTCCAAGCTGGAGGAGATCCTAAGGGTTGCCGAACCCACCCCGTGCTGCCTTAGCACCAGCAGCTCCATGGGAGCTGCTCACGCGGCTCTTATTAAAAGATTCACTTCTCATAAAAGCCGTTGAGCGAAGCCACAACTCAAGCCAATGCATCTATCGCCGTGAAATCGCCGTCAACGCGACGCAACCGTGCTCAGCCTGCTATCCACCAGGCTCTGCCCTCAAGCACCGGCGCTGCTCCGATGCTCCCGAGCTGTTCGCGCAGGTAAGTAACCGCCCGAGCTCCGCAGTCGGGCACGAAGCTCCCGTTCCGCTCGCTCTGACGGCCGCTCCCCGCTGCAGGTGAGCGCCGGGCCGCGGGGCGGAGCGGCGGCCCTGAGGCGGAAGGGCCGCGGCTCTTCCCTCCCCTCCCCCTCCGTCGGAGCGATGCGGCCGCCGCGTCCCAGCGACGCGGTGCGGGAGGCGGTGCGGAGGGACCCGCTGGGCGCCGAGCTGCGCTGCAGTCTGTTCGCCGCCGCGCTGCAGAGCTACAGGCGGGACTCGGCGCTCCGGCCCTTCCCGAGCCGCTACGGCGGCGCCGACGCCGCCTCCAAGGACTTCGAGGCGCTGGTGAGCGGCACGCGGCCACGGCGCCGCAGCGGGGACGGGGAAGGCTGAGCCGGGCAGGGCTGAGCCGGGCGGCGGGAGGGAGGGCCGTGCGTGGGGCGGGGGTGGCACGGCTCGAGCCGCAGCGGGAACGCCGCGCTGCCCCGGAGCGGGGATGCGGAGCTGTCACATGTGTGCCTTGAGAACGACGCCGGAACGGTCCGCGCCCCCCGGCCCCCAACCCTTCGAGTCTGCCCCGCCGCGGCCCCGCACCCAGACCGCTCCCCTTCCGCCTGCCCCTGCGTGCGCGGCGCTGACGCCGCCGATAAACAGACTGGTCTCAGATTCCAGCCCGCCGGGCTGAAATACTCGGTTGTTTTCACTAGAGGTCTCTGTTTAATCACGATGAGGAGCTCGAGCTGAGCTCCTGTTGTCAGCTTGCAGATACCGAGGCGCTGCCCAGCCTGAAGGAACTCCTGGGAGCCGTCCCGAACGCAGAGAAAAGGACCTGGGATTTGCTAAGCTGGATTTTGTCATCTAAGACCTTCACGATACAAAGCATTAAGAAGCAGGAGGTAAGGCCTGAACTCAAACAGCCCATTCGAATTTGTCTGCAGGCAACTTTGCTGTTCAACACATTTTTCCTGGAGGTAGAGAGGATTTCTCTTTTTAATAGCTTTGAGAAAAAGCAAGTAGAAGAAATAGTTATTGCTATCAGTAGCTGAAAGAATATCACCAGCAGTAGGTTGGCAGTGCTGCAGCTGGGTGCTGCCATTAACAGGACACGTATGTGCTTGTACCAGACCAAGATAGTCCTGCTCAGGTTTCCCAGGGCTGGGCCTTGCTTCTTACTCAAAGACAAGTTTGTGTCATGCATGCTTGGCCCAAAAACAGAAAGGTTAAAAGCACTTCTGTAACAGGGATCAAAATCGTTATAGGGATTAGTAGCAAGAAAACAACTTCTCTTTTCACATTTTCCAAGGTCAGGTGATGTGGGGTCATCTTAGCAGCCAGCACAGCTTGGTGGAACAATGATGTTCTAACATCAGTCAAGAGCAAAACCTATCAAAACTATGACTGTACACACTTGTTCTCCTTGGGAACACTGAATTCTAACCCAGGAGGCACGATCAAAATACATAAAGCAGTCTGAAAGATGAAGGGATGAAAAAGAGGATTTCCAGTGAATGGCCCAACCCCATCAACTGACACTCCTGTTCCTTCCTGTTTTCAAGTATGAGAAGATCCAGGCGCTCACTGGGATGTCTGATGCTGCTGTTCCTGCTCCAGACTTCCTCTTTGAGGTCACATACTGTGATCAAATGAATGCCAAGTTTGCTGAGACTAGGGGTGAGCAGGACCTCATCTATGCCTTCCATGGCAGTCGCCTGGAGAACTTCCATTCCATTCTGCACAACGGCCTGCATTGCCATCTGAACAGGGTGAGGCTCCTGATGCCCCTTATGGGCACCATCTCTTGTTGGTCACCTGCAGCCAGTAACACTTGGACTGGCTGCAGAGTCCTTGAAGGAAGGGCACAAAGCATGCTGACGAGTTAGTCCTGTTTTCACTTCAGTGTAGGCCTTGGCCTACAGTTGCATTCAGTCTTCTGTTCCAGCCTAAGGGTAAAAACTGGAAGCAGCATGAAATAGTTTCCTCCAGCGTGACAAATTCTGTCTATCCTTTGTAAGGAGGTGTAATGCCTCTGGAAATAGCAGCCTCTCTGGCAGCCTGCAGCTGGAACATGCTTGTGCATAGAACAAAACAGCAACCCAGAGAACACAGGGAATTCTCTCTCCACCTGGCTGCAGGATCAGGTCAAGTAGCTTCAGATGCCACTTGCAGATCCCTTTCTAAGTGGCCCAGCTAAGGGAAATATCCCACAGGATTTTCAGCCCTTCTGATTTCAACAGAAAGGAAGCTGGGACTCTGCTGTCTGTAAAGCAGTTCTGACACAACAGCTGCATATCCTTCCCATCAACCTGGACCATGTTTTCCCACCTCCCCCCCCCTCCCGGATGCCCTTTGTGAACAAGGCTCCTCAGCTATGCCGGATCTACTGGCTTAATAACTGCAGTCAGCGTGGCAAATCCTCTGATTCAAAGTTATTGAAACAGTTATTTTTGTAAGGAATTCACAAGTGAAACATGCTCCCCTCTTTTCCTGTGAAGCAGGGATTTAAATGTGAGTTAAAGCCTTGTCCGTACATGAAGGCTGGATTACTTGAATGATGGCAGTCTCAATAAATCAGTGCAATGCCCCTGACAGCAGTGCAGTCATGTTGATATAAAATGCTTACACTGGCAAGCTCAATCCAAATCCGGGAAAGCATGAATCTGTCCTCACCAGGGGCTGTGCCAAACAGCTAATCTGAGGGATGGGAGAGGGCAGGAAGTTGTGCCAGGATAAAAGCAGTGCAGAGGACCTGGCCAAATGTGGGTAGAAAAACCTTTGTTAATTCACCTCAAGAAACAGAGCCACCAGACTGACAGTAAAGAACACTTGCATGCTGTAACTTGCCCTGCAGGACACTAGGATACATTTCTGTCCTGTTTCAGACATCGCTGTTTGGTGAAGGCACCTATCTCACCAGTGACCTCAGCCTGGCTCTGCTCTACAGCCCACACAGCCTCGGGTGGCAGAGAAGCACATTGGGCTCCATCCTGAGCTGCGTTGCTGTCTGCGAGATCATCGACCACCCCGATGTCAAGTGCCAGGTGAAGAAGAAAGGTGAGCCTGTTGCAGTAATAACTACAAACAGTTTAGCCCTTGTTCAGCACCATTTGTGTTTCAGCTCTGGGCACATACACGGCCTTAGCGTGGTATATGGGGCTTTCTTTTCTGATTGACCCCTCAACAAGCACATATAAGCCTTGCAATGCTATCTTCAGATGCATATTTGAAGGATAGACACTAATTTGGTTGCATCATTTATTCTTATGATAAGTTCACCTTCCCTGATGCCTATGATGGTGGGACAGGAGCATCAGTGTGTAGCAAAAAGGAACTATCTTAGATATGTAGACTAAGAAGCCTCTGCTCAGGTTGTCCATCTCCTTTTTGCTTGCAGGACTCAGTCCTTCAGCGTTGTTTTTCTTTCCCTGTTAACATGAGCAGCCCTCCAGCCCTGTGTGTGACCCGCCTCCATCTCACCCTGGTCTGTGCTGGAATACCACCCATACCAGGGATGACTAGGAGTGGTGTAGCCTCAAGCAAACTTTTCGGTCTATTCCTGGATGCTAAAGGATTCTGGGGAATGCTGAGATCTTTGATTATCTCATTCCCACCCCTGTGGGCGTACATGCATGTGAAGGTTGTTTGTTTGTTTTACAGTCACATGGGAGTTTGGCTGTTCTGTTCCTTGAAGAGCTCTTCTTTCTCCTTCCCATGCAGATTCAGAAGAAATAGACAGAAAAAGAGCAAGAGTGAAGAACAGTGAAGGTGGTGACGTGCCACAGAAGTACTTTGTTGTCACAAACAATCAGCTCCTCCGAGTTAAATACTTGCTGGTCTATTCACAGAAACAGCACAGGAGGTAAGAGCTCAGCCACCTAGAATGATGAGCGTGGTGGAACAGATAGATAAAAGTACCCTATTTGTGAAAGAGCAATGGGAACAAGCTGCAGAGACCCGCATCTCTCATGAAATCCATGCACTTTTCCCTTTTCAGGCCTTCAGGTCAGTCCTGGTTTTCCACCCACCGTTTTGCCATAGCAATGATGCTGTACCTCCTGCTCCTGATCGTGATTGGGGCCAGCAACTCACCAGCCTTCCTCTACTACTGGCACAGAATGTTTCACTCAGAGTGAAATGCCCTCCAAGATAATAAACTGCTATTTTCACTATGTGCCTTAATAACAAGGAATCCACCAAGCTCTGCATCTGTTCCAGAGCTCTGGAAATAAAAGGTGTTTGGCACTTTCCAGTTATTATTTCTGTATTCCTGTGATTCATGAAGACACCCAGTACAGCTGAAAAGGATCTTAATAGTGCAGCTTAGCATGAACTGATTCTTAAGGGTCCATGGAGAAAGTTATTTAAAATTAATGAAAACTAAGTGTGGAAATATTCTGCTGTCATTATTTTCTGTCAGATTGAGTTAGTAATGTTTGCACTAGGTGGAAGGGAGTTTCTCCCTGTATGTCAAAGTCCAAGTTTGTTTTCAGAAACTGTATGTAGAGATGTTTGGTATGTATCAATGCAGGTGGGTTCACATTTAAAACAGACTACAGTTTTGACCATTAATTTTTATATTTAAGCATAATGATTGTAAGAAAGAAAGAAATGAAATAAAACAGCAACCAAAATGGAAGGAACTAAATGACTTCTACCTAAGTGCCGTCCTTCCCCTCCCTCCCACTCCCCAATGGAACACATACAGGATTGCTGCTCTCAGCCATGACCCACCTTGGTTAGCACATAAGATCAGACAGACTTGGGCACTTCAGCATCAATACTGAACGTGCATTTTGCTGTCAGACTGCTTTCCACTTCTGTTTTCCACAGGAGGAAGAGAGAGGGTAAAGGGTTCCATGCACAGCCACCTGGCAGCCTTTATAGGGTTGGAGCTAACCAGAACAAGATCTCATCACATATCCATAGCAAAGGAGTCTATGATTCCTAACCCTACTCATGAAATATTTCAAATATCTGTCTTTCTCTAACACTGTTCTGTTACCTAATTGCCAGAAACGACAACCTGCCAATCAGGTTTCCTAACTCAATTCTGAGGACACATACAGCAACCCCTCTCCTTGGTGGATAGAGCTGGAAGCATTTATTCCAGTTAATTTTACTGCCAAGACCAATTTATTTATTCACCATACAGCTTGCAAAACAAGAACATTATAGTCCAATTCCCCATTGCCTTTTACAGTCCATTAATAATGCTCACTGGTACAGCACATTGCATTGCCACAGCCCACGAAACATACGTGCTAATTATAGCTCTGATTTGCAATTAAAATATACATAAACCAACAATTTACTGCACAACAGATTCAGCTACAGTGGCTGGATATTTTAATCCAGGAACTTGGGGTTTGAGACATGCATTGTGTTTCTGAGATTTTTTTTTGCCTGCTTTTGGTCTATTTCAACAAGTGATCTTTAATGTGCCATGGGTTTAGGGTAGGTAGGATGCCAGGTAGAAATCCTAAAGCTGTTTGGTGGATGGTACTGTGTTGGTAAGAGCCTTGGTGTGTGCCTGCAAGTGAAACATCTTTGGGAACAGATGGGATATCCGGGGCCCTTTGAAAAGGAAGGGGCTGAAGCAGCAGTTCTTTGATGGATGGTTGCTTTGCTGCAGGGAAAGGCACAGACCTGGAGCCCAGCAGCCAGGCAGAAGGAACAGATGGGAAGAAACATGGCACGGTTTGAAGGCTCCTTTGCATAGAGAAATTTCCTGAAGGATAAGCAGAATGAATTAATGCATAGTGGCCATTCAGCACTATCTCCCAGTATCTGTCTGGGCTTTTATTTGGCTTTAAACCAGCACTGTGTTAAACCAGCAATACCAAAGAGTGGATTTTTCCACTCCCAGGTTTGAGCAGACCCACAGGAGAGAGGGGCTGCAGGCAGGGAACCATGGGCTGGTGCCCTGGCTGTTCTCTGGAGCTCTAGAGCCCCATTTGGGACTGCTGATCTCAAAGGCAATAGGAAAATGAATGCATTCTATCTTAGTGGGCCATCAAAATACTCAATAGCCAACTCTGGTGCTTGTTTTCTGTGCTCCCTGCTGATTTCAGCATGTGTTTCCCAACGTGGTGAGATGCAGTCAACTGAATTAATGCGAGTGTTGTGTTGAATAACCAACAATATTCTGAATTAACCTGAGGTTCTGTTAAGCTCTTAAGCCACTTGTGTGGCTCTTTGAACACGCACAGTGCTATAAAAACGCTAATGGAAAACAAATCAGAGTTTCTTCCTGAAGAAAGAAACACTGTCTGAAGCAGAGGGTTAGAATCATAGAATCATTAAGGTTGGAAAAGACCTCCAGAGGTCACCAAGTCCAACATCAGCCCATCCCCACCATCCCCACTGGGCCATGTCCCTCAGTGCCACAGCTGAGGCCGTGCAGGCAGGCAACCAGGGCAGAAAGCAGAAGCACGCGGGGCGAGGAGGAGCAGGGTACTGCTTGGCAGCACACTCCCCCAGTGACATTTCCCTTCTATCATGAAAGCTGTCACTTTGGGCATCTTGCCCATGCTCTGGGCTTGCTGAAATGTCAGCCTTTAAGCACCAGAGAAGGGAAGAAAGGAAGCAGCAGGGAGTAACACACAGCATGCACAAAGCACCCACAAGCATCTTGGGGACCACGTCCCAAGGACTGAGGGATGTGTCCTCCCCAGCATCCCAAGGAGAAGAGTTTTCCTATTGTGCCACAGTTCATAGCATCACCAAGTGGTTGGGGTTGAAATGGAGCTTTAACATCATCTAGTTTAACCTCCCCAGTATGAGCAGGGACACTTTCTACTACACCAGGCTGCTCGAAGCCTCATCCAGCCTGGCCTCGAGCACCTCCATGGATGTGGCTGCCACAGCTTCTCTGGACAACCTCTCCCAATGCCTCACCACTCCCATAGGAAATAATTCCTTAAAAATATCCCAAAGCCAGAACACTTTATGCTCTCCCACCATACCTATAGGCCATAAAGGTAACAAGTCCCTCCCAAAAGGAAACACACTTCTTAGATGCCTACAAGCTCTCCTAACACCATGCAAGAGTGGACAAGTGACCTTAAATGTCTGGATACATTTGCTCCCACTCAGCAGAAATTCACTAAAGAATGTTTAAGAGACTAAAGGCACTTCACCACTAATTCAAGGCTCAAACAACCAACACATTTTTCTCCCCATAGGGATCTTCAGCCTTACAGCAGGACCAATAGAACGTAGAATAGCATAAGTTGGAATGGACCTTGAAGTTCATCTAGTTCTAAGCCCCTGCTACAGATAGGGTTGCTAAAGGAGGGTCTGATGAGCAAGTTGCCTTCCTCACCAGAACCCATTCCCACCACCCTTGAAGAAATCCTACTGGCACCAGTCAAACCAAGACAGCCTGGCACCATGAGCCCTACTCTGCTAGCATTGCAAAATTAACCTTTGGTGGAGCAAGCCCAGAAAAGCCAAAAGGCAATTACACATCTCACTGGAGTTCAGATGCTTTCTGAAGGGCTCAAATTAATCCCAGTTGGCTGACTGAGCTCTTACAGCTCTGATTGATTCCCCCCCACACACACTTTGGGCAGTTGCAACAATGCTTAACATAGTGAAAGGCAAGTACTCAACAGCTGTCCCCAGCCTGCTATCACCCAAAGCACCACAGCTGCCCAGCCAGCACCACTTACCACTCCTTTTGTTTAAACCCCACTTGGTTTTTGTGGGCTGGGCACTGGCAGACCAGTCCAGGTCCTTTCTTACCAACAGGAATTCATCACTCCAGGCTTCTCATAAAGTAATTGCTTTCCAGGAGGATCTCAGCTTCCCCACACACACATTTACAGCCACAAGTCAAGAGTCTTATTAATATGCTCATGCTGATAAAACTCAAGTGCTCATTCAAAGCTACAGTAGTCACAAAAATACTCAGAACTGTTTCCTGACAAATCCAGAACCTCAGTTGCCCATGGAGTTCACACAACAAAAAACAGGCAACCAGCACCACTAAAGAACTCCTCTTAGCTCCAACTAAAGTTGCCTTCAGAAACAAAAAAACAAACAAACATTTAACAACAACAAGCATCTCACTGAGAAGTAATCAATCACCCCTAACTGCATAGAAGATAACAACACAGCTGAATAAATTCATACCTTCAACATACACCTAAAGACAAAGACCTCCATAAACTTCTGGCACGTTAATGAAAAGACAATAAATAAATAAAAACAAAATAAAAATAAACCATTTTACTCACCAGAGCTCAGCCAACTCCTTCCTTCTTCCACCCTGCCTCTTCTAGCAGCTTCTCTGCTCTGTGCTGTGCATTTAAAGGCCATCAGCACCCAGCTGGCACCCACAGCAGCTGATGAGCCCTCCCCCCACAGGTGTTTCCCATCACAGTCCTCCTTAGGATGCACACAGGGTCATCAAGTGCACCTGGCTGCATGCACTCTGATTGGAGTCAGCAGTGAGGTGAGGGTGGTAGGGCAAAGCAGACATGAGTGCGTGATAAAGGGGAAAGCAGGGAGGAGAAAAGGTGGGTTAATTCTGTTAGCATGTGCAAGATGGCAGTTGGGAGGGGCTAGGCAGCAGCAAGTCTTGTTCTCACCCTTTGGTTATCCCAAATACTCACTCCTGGTCAACCCTGTGTCCCAGATTGTTGCTACATAAGGATGTATCCACACCACCCCTGCATGAGGAGAGACACCACTGTGTCCCTTTCAATCCTATCTCAGCCCACCGCAGCTCTTTGTATCGTTCTTGTCTGTCTCCATCCCCACAGCATCTCCTCCCTCCCTACAGGGGCAGCCTGAGGGGAGGTGGGTCAGGCAATGACCCCAAAATTGCCTTTATGGATGCCATAGCAAGGAGAAGACTGGACAAGACCTCAGGCTTGTTGGTCTCTAATAAATGAGGCCCAGCCCCTCCGCTGCATCTTCCTTGTGCTGGGTGAGAGAGTAGCTCCTACCTGAGGATTCACTCTCAGTACAGGCAGGAGAAATGTTCATGGTTTATGGCTATAGACCCACACCCCCCACAGTCAGTCAGTGGACTTGTCTCCAAAATCATCCAGACAAAGCAGTCCCTGATGCTGCTAGTCTCCTTCTGGTACATCTCTTCAGCACACCGTGTTAATGGTTGTCCCATTGGAGCCACCCGATGCCACCTGGCCATTGACAGCCCCATCTTTGGTGGTGTTCTCTGAGACTAAGACGGGTTTGTGTCTCTCATGCCTGGTAATGGCTGCTTCAATTCCCCTGAGACACGACTGTACATCCTCCCGAAACGAGGGGGTGTACAGCCCGTAAATGATGGGGTCGGTGCATGTGTGCAGCAAGCCGAAGAGAAAGAAGCTGTGGTTGATGTACTCAGGCATCCTCTGGATCATGGCTGGCTGGAACCAGTACCACAAGCCCAGGAGGTAGTACGGGGTCCAGCAGATGATGAAGGTGGCAACAATCACAATGGTCATCTTGAGAGTCTTCATGCGTGCCTTGGAGATGTGGTCATTTTGACTTCTTACCAGACCTGTTGGGGAGAATCAAAAGGACAGCAGGAGGTGTGAGAGAACAAGGAGAACGTAACCACCAGTGGGAATCCCAGAATCCTGCTGAGCCCTAAGGACCTGCTTACTTTTGTTGATCTTTAGCTGCTTACTGATCTCCCAAATGATTCGGACGTAGCAAACAATCATGATGCTCAGGGGGGTGATATAGAGGGTGGTGAAGGTGAACATGTTGTAGACAGTTTCTTCCCAGTGTGCTCGGAAGCTGCCGTGAGTAACGCACTGTGTGAAGTTCCCTCCTGGGACCGTGTCCAGGTGGAAGAGAAATAGCTGAAATCAAGAACCAAATCACAACTCAGAAAAGCTCTGGGGCAGGACACACACTGCATCCATGCAGTGCTTGGGGCCAATGCATGCAGCTCCGTGCTATTCTCTTGGATCATGTCACTGTCACAAGAGAGAGATCACTGCCTCTCCATTCCCCTTGGCAGGAAGCTGGAGGATACTATGAGGAGGCTCTTGGCCTCCCCTCAGCTTCCTGCAATGAACAAACCAAGAGACCTCCACCACTCTTCAGTGCACCAAACACAGCAAAGCCAATCTGGCCATGGTGGGATCACAGATTGGGATGAATTTGTTGCTTTAGCCCTTCTCCAACCCAACCAGGTCAGTAACCCCATAAGGAAACCACCCAGCCCTACCTGGGGTGATGCTAGCAGCACACTGCCCAGCCATGCAGCACGCAGCAGCAGCCCATTGCGGCGTCGGGCACGAGCAAAGGGCTGGAGGACGGCAGCATGCCGGTCCAGGCTGATGACCACCAGCACCAGGGCAGCTGCGTACATGGCAAAGAGCTTGAGGAAGTTGAGGAGCTTGCAGGAAAGGTCTCCGCCGTACCACTGCACCGTCACATTCCATGCTGCATCCAAGGGCATCACTGCCACCGTCACCAGCAGGTCGGCCAGCGCCAGGCTGAGAATTAGTGGCCGCACGTGGCACTTCTTCCTCTTCCTCAGCAGGCTGCCCAGCACTGCTGTATTGCTGCACGCTGCCAGCAAGAAGAAGATGGCCGTGACAGCCACGCGCACCTTTGCAGCCTGCGTGAACTGGGGCTCGACCCAGTGCTGCGGGCAGTGAGCAGCCGAGGCGTTGGTGACCCCCTCCGTGGTGGGGTGGTGGGGTGGTTCAGCTTCGATTAAAGCAGCTGGTAATTAGAGAGAAATCATAGAGTTATTAAGGTTGAAAAGACCAATACGATCATCCAGTCCAACCACCAACCCATGCCTGTGAGTGCTCTAGACCATGTCACTGCAACATTTACCCTTAGATCAGGAGAAGGTGGGATGTGCAGTCTGGCAGCAATCAACGCTAGCTCCGCACTGCCCATCCATGTGATGCTCATTTGGGCTGCCCAGGTGCCTTCCCCGGCTCTCACTCAGCCCCCTGTAGCTATAGCAATTGCTTGCCTAGATGTATTTTTAGCTTTTTGCAAGGCAGTAGAGGAGCTGGGGAGCGGTGGCTGCAGCCATGGGATGGCACGTCCTTCCTTTGCAAATAGATTTCAACCTTTTAAAAAACCCCACAGTGCTTCCCATTAGCAATTTAACGCTTAATGGTCTGCCTCCATCCATGGTGCCAGGTCCCCTGTGCCCAGCTGATGAGTTTCTCTGGTTTGATCTAATTGCCCCTTTATTCCCAAGCACAGCCAGCTTGGGGACAGCTTGCATTTCAAGGGCAAACGCTCCAAACTCTCATGCACACAAGCATTAATGCTCCCCACTGCCAGGAGGTCTCTGAGCATCCTGAGAGCCTTCTGGTTGCCAATATCCAATTAACACATTCCCCACCTTAAAACGAGTTGCAGAGACCAACCTGTTCCCCCAGGGAACTTGTCCATCCCACCGAATGTGTCTGTGGGATGGAGACACCAATGCCCTCCTCCAGTCCCTTCGCTGCATCCCTCCCTTTCCTCCCCAACACCCAGAAAGCAAGCAGAGAAAAGAAACAGCAGTACAAAGTCCCAAGCCATTGCTGTCCATGTGGACTTGTCCCAGCAGATGGGGACATACCTGGCACACACATGCCCTGAAGCGAAGAGAAATGCTGCCCGTCCCCGCAGCAAGTCAGGCAGCTCCAGTGCTGAGCATCCGTGCGTCTGCACAGCCGGCAGCTCACTGCTATTAGCAGAGATGTATGCAGCCCCTGGCATCTGGAGAAGGCAACGCCGACGCAAACATTCCCTGCAGCAAACCTGGAGGTGGGCACCCCTGCCCTGCTGGCTTAACGAGCGATCCGCTTTTAGTCCTAATGAGCCGGCTGTGGGAGTGGAGCTGATGGATGGCAAGAAGTGGCCAGCGCTCAGGATGTTGTCTGTTGGTGTTGTGACCAAACGTGGCCCCATCAGGGACCAGCGCCAGCATGCACCGCATCGGTTTTCTATAAATACAGGGAAATGAGTTAATTATCACCGGGGTTGGTGATGAGCATCCTGTTGCTCAGACAACCGGGAGCTCGCAGCCTACATGGCCATGTGCGCACCCAGCGATGCTCCGCCACTGGCTGGGTCTGTGTGAGCCCGGAGGTGAGCTCAGGTGTGTGCTGGCCTGGAAATGCCATAAGGAGGGATTACCCAGAGGGGAACTTTGGTCGTGTTACCGCTTTAATAAATAAACTCATTTATCTCTGCTTTCCTAATTCCCATCTCATTATCTTTTGAGTTTATTTCAGCATTTTAGTGGTAGGCGGACTAGATGATATTAGAGGTCTTTTCCAACCTTAATGATTCTATGATGACTCCATGGTCACACAAAGTCCTAGAGTGGACAAAGAGCTCACGGGCGCTTAAAAACCACAAGGCTGGGGCTCGTTTCCCCTCTCTGTGGTTTCAGTCATGCTGCCTACCATGGCAGCCGGTGGCTCACCCAGGGTTTTGGGTAAAGGCAGCACGTGGCAGAACCCTGAGAGCCAGGGCATGCACAGCCTTTATGGGACTACATCCAGCATCCTACACCCAGGATCACTTCTGCATCCAAAGGGAAAGAGAAAAGCAAAGGCACCCCCAAAATGTCAGCTCATGGAAATGGAGGGAGCTTGTCCCCAAAGACCCAAAGCCATGGCAGGCAGAGCGGCAGGGAACAGTCCCCACTGGCTCCTTACCTGGCATGGACATCCGTGAGGAGAGACTGTTTCTGGGGCAGAAAAGAGCACTGAAAGCACACAGGAGCTGGGTGTGAGCCCACTCATGGCAGCAGCCTTCTCTTCTGGACAAAGCGGAGAAGAATGCAGCCCCACATCTTGATTTTTCCTTTCACTTAGCTCTTTGCACCTGCACTAAGGCAATTAAATAGTGGGTCAGGAATGCATTCCCTGTTTGTCCTCCCTCCTGGCCAGCTGCCCCATGTCTGGAAACGTCCTCCAGACCCCAAATGCATGATGCAAGAGAAGGACAGGATTTTTCCTGGGAACCATCCGCCCCGCTCATGCCACAACAAAGGCTTTGGTTCCTGCTCAGAGAGGATTTTTGCAGCATGCCATCACACAGCCATGTCCTGGGCATGCATTACTAATGAGACATTTTAAGGGTGTGGTCCCTTGTTAAAATGACTGTTTTTCCCCATTTTTAAAAATTTTTTCATAGTAAATCTCCTGTGTTTTCTTTTCGTTGTTGTTGCTGCTCCTCTCCCTAAAGGTCAGCTGCCTGCTGAGCACTGGTTTAACCATCACATTGTTGGGCAGAAGGACTGGGAAGCAGCACTGCTGGGCTGTTCCCATACAGCCCCCACTGGGCTGGGATGCTGTCCTGGGACCACAAGAAGCATGGGATCACCTGCAGCAGAAGTGCAGCTGGAGCACGTTTCGCATTGCACATCCCATATAAACTGGGGTCTTGCAGACCCTCATTCCCTGCCCTTGTGCAGGTGCTTTTGGCATCCCTGAATCCCTGTTTGCTCAGTGAGCCTCACCCTTCAGACTCTCAAATGCAGACATTTTTCTTCTGGTTCTTCTTTTCCTCCTCCAAGCCCTGAATTGTCTCCGGAGCCGCTCGTCCAAGGAAATTCTTGTCTCATACTGGACTTGAAACAGAAAGTCTAGTCAGAGACATCTGACATGCGGTGTTTTTGTGAGTAAATACCAGTGTCCATGAAGTCATTTCCCGGGGTTAGAGATGAGCTCAGCCCTGGAATGGCTTCTATTCTTTCCCAAAGTCCACAGCAGACAGTGCGTGGCTCCCTGCTCTCCTCCTGCTCACTAAAATCTGCACTGGAGCTGTGCATCACACCAGTTTGCTGAAATGCTCACCGCAGAAAGCAGCGAGGGGGTCACAGGACACCTGTGAGCCCCTCTGCAAGGGGTGGTTCAATATATACATTGGGTGTCACTGTGGCAAAACCATACAGCAAGAAGGCTGTGCCCAATGGGGTGCACACAGCTGTTCGCAGACATCTTTACAACTTCTTTGGGTGTTTCTTTGTGCAATAATGCTCTGTTTCTGGATTCAGAGGTGCTGCAGCACTCAGACCCTTCTTCAGGTGTGTTGTGCCTCTAAGCATCGAGAAAAACGTTCTCAATGCTCAGTCTCATCAGAGTGGTTGGTTTTTGGTAGCCTGGTGTTGCAGAGCTCAGTGAGCCATGGCCAGTCGTTCCTAGCAATGTCCATAGGGAGCTGGGAAGGATGGCAGGAAGATGAGCAAGCTGACAAGGAGGATGCTCTCCCCTCACACCCACCCTTTGCCATGCCTAAAGTGGATGAGAGAGGTGAGTTGGTTTCTGTAGAACAAGCCTCGAGGTGTAGTCCATCAGCACATAGGTTTGGTGACCTGCCCAGTGACCTTGCTGCCTGACCCTGCTATTTTTCTTGAGCTGGAAGTGATGAAATCCAAATGTTTTCATTGTGACTAACCTACGGAAGCGAACAATTTTGCTCTTGGTTTTGGATGGGTTTTAGTGGCTCACCTCCTCCTCGTCTTCCGTGCCCTCTTTCATCCATCCTATTTTTACTCTCTGCTTCCATCACCTCCTGTCTCTTCCTGCTGGCCGCGTGCATCAAACGCCCTTCTCTCTCTCAAGCTCCCCAGGGTGTTTGGACCCAAATCTGATGTTTCTTACGGGAAAAGCTGTATCCACAGGATGGAGCTGAGCCACAGAACTCACCATGGCATCCTCTTTCCCTCCTGGGGAGGACATGGTGCTGCTTTTTTGGGGGTTGCCATTTGCAAATCCATTCCCAGAAGGCACTGTGGGTTATCCAGATGTTGCCAAAGAGCAGCTCTTGGCTTGATGCTCCAGTTCATGAAATCCTGACAGTGCTTTGCCAGCATCAATCAGCTGCCACCCTCCCTGCCTTGACCTGATCTAGAGGGAAAAATGGAGCAAGAAAAATTATGAGTGAAACAAAAGCTACTACCCCATCACCTTCCTCCAGCTCTGAGTGCATCTGAGCCTGAAGCAATTGCATGTAAATAAGAGCAATAAATTATAGATTTCTTCAGGACTAATTAATTGCTCAAGCCAACACAGGGTGATCTTTGTCCACCAAGCAGAAAACCAAACACCTGGAGGGCTGTGGGTTGGAGCTCTGCTACTGCCTTTCCTTTGCATGTTAAATGTCCCCATTTAGAGTGGTCCAATCCAAGTGGTCCCATCACACACTGCCTGGCACTGACCTCTGTATTGCACCACTCACGCTGCAGGTGTGGGACAGGAAGGTGCTGGGACGTGCAGTACTCAGAGGGCCATGGTTCAGTGGGCACAGTGTGATGGGTCAATGGTTGGACTTGGTTATCTTTTCCAGCCTTAATGACCCTGTGACTCTATGAAACAGTGGCCACATCTGGTGGTGTTGAGATGAGTCGTGCTCAGCAATGTGATTATAAAGGGATTTGCTATTGAGACTTTCTGGTGCTCTTGGAGCAACCTCCATCTCACCTCTTTGGAGGTATGATGGGGAAGGACTGAGCCCAGTGATGGCCATGACATCAGGAGAGACATACTAGGGGACCCTGCTGACCCCAAGACCACTGTGTTGTGCCCACTCTGCAGTGCTTTCTGCTCCTGTTTCCCAGATATGGGTGGATGCTCCATCCCTGGAGACATTCAAGGTCAGGTTGTTCACGGCTCCATGCAGCCTGATCAAGCTATAGATCTTACTTTGGAAGGGACCTCAAAGCCCACCCTGCCACCATCCCTGCCATGGTGGGGGCTGGGTGCCCCCCTCCCTCCCCAGCTCAGGCTGTCCAGGACCCCATCCAACTTGGCCTTGAGCACCTCCAGAGATGGGGCATCCACAATTTCTCTGGGCAGCTGTGCAAAGGCCTCACCGGCCTGTGAATAAAAATTTCTTCCTAACATCTAACCACTTCTTCCTAACATCTAAGCTAAATCTCCCCTCTATCAGTTCATAGCCATTCCCCCTTGTTCTGTCACTTTCAAACCATGTAAAAAATTTGCCCTCCTCCTTCTTATAAGCTCCTTTCAAGCACTGTAAGGCCACAGTGAGGTCTGCCCTCACTGAGCCTTCTCTTTTCCAAGGTAAACAAGACCAGCTCCCAAGCTTTCTTCATTTGAGAGGTGCTCCAGCCCTTTGATCATCTTTGTGGCCCTCCTCTGGAACTGGAGGTGTCCCTATCATTGCAAGAAAAGTTGGGCTGGATGACCTTTAAAGGCCCCTTCCAACACAAACAATTCCATAACTCTATCAATGCTGCAGGTGGAGCCTGCACTCTGGGTTCAGCCCCTAAGTGAATCCTTCCAGGGGGAAACACCAGACTGCTCCTTCTTGCCTAGCCACAGCCCATAAATCCTCATCTGTGTAATAAAAACAAACTCCAGTAGTTCCTTCTTTGGGCTCTTTCCCAAAGCTTTTAGGCAGCTGGAGTTTGCTTTTGTGCTGATGAAGCGGTGGAGGAGGGCTTAAGCGAAACAATATTGTGGCAGCTGAGAGGTTTGCTGGTGGTGGTTCAAACCTCAGCGCTAAGTCCAGGAATCCACAACACCTCCAAAATTTCATCCAGCCCATAAACAGGGACGGTCCAAGTCCTAGGATGTCAAAACAGGATTTAAAAACAACAGCTCCAGCTCTGCATCAGCCACCACTGGAGCACCACTGGGAGCCAAGTGCTTAGCGAAATCCCAGCTCCCAGCTCTGAGAACACACAGCCTTCCCCAAAGCGCTTGGGATGGAACAAAGTCATCAATCAGTTATTTTCACTCCGATCTCTGTAAACAGGAGCAAGTTCAGAGACACAGAGCAGGGGAAAAAAAGCGTCAGCTCCTTCTGGTGTCACGGGCAGAGAGGAGCAGAACATGGCCCCGCTGGTCCCTCGTGGACTTCACAGGGTGCAAACCTCACTGATCCCCAGTGTGGTGCAGTGATTTTGGTGATGGTCATTGTGTCGGTGGCGTACTGAACAGGAGGGGAAGCACAGACATCTGGGTGAACATCATGGCCATGTTTTCCCCTCGTTTGGGCAAGAGAAGAGCGATGGACGTGCCCTGAGAAGGAGTGTGGACAGGGAAGTGGGGTCCCGCTGCCTGTATCATGGTCCTCGTGCACTACTGCATCTCAGTGCTGGGCTGGGGGAAAGCATTCAGCATGGCAGCATTCCCATCAATACACTATTGTTTTCTAATTACGCATCGGTGAGCAAATCATGGAAAAAAGTCTGTACGAGCCAGCTGGGCCTCCCAGGGCTCATCGTGGCGTGGGGCGGGAGGGGAACGTGGCCTCTCCAGCCCTTGGCTTTGTGCAGGGAAATGCCAGCAATGGATAAGCAGATCAAATAATCATAGAATCGAGGTTGGAAAACACCTCTAAGATCATCCAGTCCAAACACCCACCTACCACCCGTATTATCCACTAAATCATGTTCCTAAGTACCACATCTACACACGTGAGCTGCATCCTTCCCCATGGCTATGGGCAGCATCCTGCCTTCCCCTGAGCATCCCTGGGCTGTGATCAGCCTAACCTCGCACCAAGGCAACTCCTGACCTGGCTGCTCCTTGCTCGCTGGATAAACATTCTACCATTTCTTGGCAAATCCCAGCTTGTTTTCTTCTTTTCCCTCATAAACAGAAACAGGAGTCAGCGCCGGGCACCTCCAATTAATTTTTATGTGACACTGATCAATGTCTTCCTGCACTGCTCCCTCTGGCAGCAGGGCCAGGAAGGATTACTAAGAGGGCAGCCTGTTCTATTCTGTCCTGTCCCCATCCTGAATGCACACTCCATGTTGTGCCATGCTGCAGCAGGTATGGCCCTGCAGGCGTACACGCTTGCACACGGCTCCAAACTTCCTTTTGTGGAGTTCCATTGGGGGGGGGGGGGGGGGGGGAGGGGGGGGTCTTACCAGGAGCTTTGCCAGTTGTCCCCATGGCTCAAGAGAGATGAGGGCACACTGACTTGCAAGGAGGGTCCCAGCGAGGATGGCATCCTGCCTCTGCAGCTATGTGCTGCTCCATAGGATCAGAGAATCAGAGAATATCCCAAGCTGGAAATAACCCACTGGGACCACTGATTCACCTCCTATATCCACGCAGGGCCACCACAAAACCATAGAATCACTAAGGTTGGAAAAGACTGCTGAGATGCCCAAGTCCAACACCAGCTCACCCCCCACCATGAACACTGCGTCCCTCAGCATTACACCTCCACGGTTCTGGAACACCCCGCCACTCCTTGGGCAGCCTGTGTCAGTGCAGCTCTTTCCAAACACTATTCCTGAGAGAGGTGTTCCAGACCTGTCTGAACTCTGGCTCAGGCCTGTGCCCACTGCCCTGGGGAGCATTCCATGCCCACTGCGTGCTGGGGCAGAACCTTCTCCTGAAACACCATGGGATCTGAGCAAGCATCTGGCCACATCCCATGCCCCATATACCAGGACAGCTGTATGTATCCCAAATGTGAGGAACCCTTGGGGCACTGAGGGGCACCACCTCATCCCCAGCCAGTTGGGAACCTCAGAGCATCCTCTCTGCAGCACCTGTGGGATATCCCGTACAAACTGCCACCACCGTTCAACTGGGAACCGAACCCGGAGCATCTCCCGCAGCACAGCCTGATGGCACTGACAGCTCAGCGTCCCCGACTTGGCCACAACTCCAACCCCAAAGCCCCACTCCCGCAGCCCAGCCCCGTGTTTACCATCACCTCGCCGAGGGATTTATTCCGCCGGCTCTTTCCTCGCCCGCCCGACCCGCTGCAGCCCGTGGCGCGGTGCCATTCCGGAGCCTCACGCCGCGCTATATAAGCGCTCTCTGCGCTCGGGCTGTGGGGACCGTGTGCTTTGCAGGCAGCGCTGAGGCGGGGAAAGCACGGCTCCGCAAATCCCTTCAGCTGCTTCCAGCCCGCGCTCCCCGGAACGAGAGGACAGGACGCTCCTTCGTTGGAGGTTTTATGGTTTTTGTAGGTAAGAAAAAAAAAAATAATAATACCAAAGAATCCCTCTAAGCTTTTCCTTCCTCTGCAGCACAGGCGTTATATAACTTCGCTGGGTAATTAAGGCAGTGTAATTACAAACGGCTGTGATTGAGGGTGAAGTGGGAATTGTTGCTGCGGTGTGGGAGGCTGCCGGGCTGCTCGGCATCCCCAGCCATCCCGTTGCAACGTCACCAAATGGGTTTTGCACAGGGTCCGGAGGGGGGTTTGGGGACAACAGAGCTCTGTTCCTGCACTTTGTCCTGCAGCACTTTGGGACTGAGCCCCAGAGAGGGGGGACATGTCCCTGCATCTGTATGAAATCCCGGATGAGTCGCAGCCGGATCCCAAAATAACCTGCAAGTGGGAACGGGGCTTTCCGCCTGCCTGCATTTCTCCTGGTTATTGTCTGGCTGTGAGTTCGTGACCCTGCCGTAAGCTCACAAAATCCTGCTCATGTGTTGCTTGTTATTTGTGCTTGACTGGGATTCGCTGAGCTGTAATCAAAGTATTTCCTATTCCCATAGCACCCGTTCTTGGGGAGGTTAGTTAGTTACAAGCAGAGGCAGTTTTGTTGCTTATAGCCTTGGGTTGGGGTAAACTGAGGCACTGAGCAGCTACGGCAAACATGGAATCACAGAATACCCCAATTATGCCCCAGATTCATTTGTTGTGATGCACAACACAACATGTCCATAGCTGCAGCAGGGTGACTGAGCAACAGCTGCTCAAAACCTGGGTACCTCAGTGCTCAAAGCCACAAGGCTACGTGATGGAAAAAAAGGACAATTTCTGGCAGCTTGCTGACAATCACAGCATCACAGTCAGAGCTTGGCTTATGCATGGGGTTTTACACTCCCAGCTTTGCCTCTGAGCCTTCCCAGGAGCTCTGAGCCCAGGCTGTGGGCAGAGGGACGGGGGCTGAGGCTCTGCAGAAGCACTTATCCTGAAAAGGGCCCAGTAAGGAGATGTCATTACAAAGCACTCTTCTGCAGAAAAGATTTGAAGCGGGGATGGGATGCCACTGCAAAGAGCAGCAGGATACGGTGCCTCCGCCATGGGGGGACAAATGGGTAGGAGCTGCCACAAGCGGATAACCTCTGAGAGAGATTTCTGCAATGGGAATGGGACAACGTTTGGTGAACTACCAGGATGGGAGGTTGGGCACCCGCTGGGAGCAGCATCCCGTAGGTAGGATTTGACACAGCTAGGTTTGTCCCCATAGGTCTGAGGGACGTGGGACAGCTCCAGGTCCTTGAGGAAGCTCCCAGTTACCTCTGGACATGATGCTGGTCACCGCAAGAGGATGGATGCTGCTGCTACTGCTGCTGTTGGGAGCCACAGCCAGTTCAGGTGAAGGTGCAACACTGGTGACCCCAGACACAGTTCTGACATGGCTTAGTGGGTGTGGTGGTGATGGGTTGATGGTTGGACTCGATCTCAGAGATCATTTTCAACCTTGATGACTTTATGAAATCAGCAGACACTGCGAGGGCAGAGTGCCCATCTCCAAGATGAGCAGGACCCAATTTACTTAGATAGGTTTTGTAGAGCAGGGTGCCTGCAGGCTGTTTGGATTTGTTTTGAGGGCATGGAGGAATTTTGCTCTGAAGGGCTCTGGCGACAAGCTTGGGGATAAGCACAGAAAGGTCAGAACTTGATGGGGAGGTTCCAGACCTCTGCTCTGCATCAGGCAGCCCTGGGCTCAGCTCCCCGGGTTAACCCAAGCTCATCCCCTCATTGGATTTGATCCTCCCCCATACAGGGAGAGGGGGGATGCATCTTATACCTCCAGATATAAAAAGATGTTTTGGTCACAGCTGCTCCAACACAGAGGGCAGCAAGCCCAAAACGCAGCAGGGCCAGGGGAAATCCCAGCAGGAGGGACGTGGAACACAGCCAAACTATGCCTGACCACTCACATCCAATTATATTATTAATAATAATCTATTTTAATCTCTAATTTCTTGAACCCCTAGGTCAAAGGCTTGTAAGACAAGGCCTTGGCAGGATCCAGATAGGACAGAAAACCTTCAGACCGATAGTGATGCTCAGCCTAGAGGGTAAGTTACGTTCTACCCTGATGGCTTCCCCTCACTGGGACATCTTTTATTCTTTTCAGTCTTCATTTCAAACTGAATCAATTCACTGGAGTAGATGGGACATTGAGACAGTGGAACAAATAGTGCTGACCCCGCACCCTCCTGTGGGGTTGGAGCTCTGGCTGACACACACCACTGGCTTCAGTCCTGGAAAGCTGAAGGTCAGCTGCGTGACCACAGCTTGTCCTTGGGGCCATGGGGTGAGGATGGCGGTGCTGTGGGTTACACCCAGCAAAACACTGAGGTTTGGGCCACAGCAATTAGAAAACTAGACATCTGCCTTTCACTGCAGTAAGCCCCAACCTCAATCTTTACCTCTGGGAGTGGGTCTAGAAGACCTCCATGAGTTGAGCATGCAGGGTCACACCAGACATCCTCTGCCCACAGGTACGAGGAGCAGCCCCCGTCGGTTGGACCCGATCTTCACCAGCGCCAGACGCAGTATGTCCTGCTTCCCTACCTCACTCCCCATGCACCCCTTGGCTTCTCCCTGCCCTCTGCTTTTCCCACAGTCAAGGTGCTGTCTGGAGCCATGGGCCTCCCCTCTGCCTTTCTTGCCATCACCAGCCCTGCAGATTCAAGCACCTGATAGCTGCTGATAGACAGAGCTGTGAAGGGCTGTAGAGAAACACCACATCAATCTGTTGCAAACTGAACGCTTGCTTGGGGCAAAGATGAACAGCATTTCTGAGTGTGCTCCTAGAAGGAGACTGTGTCTCCAAATGCACCTCCTCCTGCATCCCCTCAGTGTCACCCCAAATTATTAAATAATGTCTATCTATGTACCAATGGGGATGGTGAACTGGAGAAGTCAATGTGCCAACAGATTAAGAATCTAGCCAGCTAAGCCAGGCACTTGCTCCAAACCAGACATTGCACTGTTGCTGTCATTTAAGTCATCTGTTCCAGCCACAAAATCCCCCTACAACACCTGCTTCTGGAAGCCAGGGTTCATTTTCAAAACCTGCTATTCCAACACTCCTTGCCTGCCTCTTGGCAGACATAACTTGCCCTGGCATACAGTGAACCTTGTGGAAGTACAGGTGTGGGAGATGGTGTGGTGCACGCACATGTTTCCAAGAGATCTCATTTTTAGAGCATTTAGTCACCAGCACATCTTCGTAAACATTATTAGAACATCATCATTTAAAAATAAACCCTAACCACAGGCTGGGGGTGGATCTCACCCATTCAAACAGCTTAAATTAATTACGTCCAGTAACTTTTAAAGGAATTCCTTGGAACATCCAACCGCACACCAAACTCCCAATAAACCTCTTTGTGTTTGACAAATCAGCAGAGCCCCAGCATGCTCAGCATCTCAGCCTCCTGTTCTGCACACAGCAAAGCTGGTGCTCCCAACAGGACACAGAGTCTCCTTCTCTGGAGATGTTCAAGACCTGCCTGGATGCCTACTTGTGTGACCTGGTGTAGGGAACCTGCTTTGGCAGGGGGGTTGGACTCGATGATCTCTGGAGGTCCCTTCCAACCCCTACGATTCTGTGACACACGCTTCCCCTATAGAGAACATACGTTGAAGTAGGGTTAAAGGCATTCAGCACAGCCCTACCAACAATAGCACCCTTCTTTGTTGCTTTTTTCATTTAACCACATGCAAGCACTGCCACTCAGACAGCACTCAGTTGACAATGTGGGTTTGAGTTCCTCTAAGTCAAAGTTATTGGAGACTAAGCGTGAGCTGCTGCACTCTGCCCCTTAGGCTTACCTTAATCATCCCAAATTCAGGCAATGATGTTTGAAGCATTGAGGCACCTTCACATGCTTTGTTTTCCAGCTCCCTCAACATGCTTTGAGTTTGTGGTGCATAATATCCAAATACAAACTCATGCCCGAGCCACGTAGAAGCTGTATGGAAACTGCTTGCTTTGGGGCAGCCCTGCGTTGAATGTGTGTCTCACTAACACACCAATGATGTCATTCAAGCTGTTCTGGTGCAAGATCCCAGAAAGTTCTTGTCTCCGTGGTCAAAATGGAGTGAGTGCTCAGGAACGTGTGGCCAAACTGGTGTGCAGAAGCGGACCCGATCCTGCCTGGCGGATCGCCTCTGGGGCGTGCACTGCAATGAAGTCATGGAGGAAGGGCGGCTCTGCATCGGACACGTCTGCTCAGGTGCTCACATAACCTTGGTTACGTTTTTTCACTCCCCTCATAGTCACGTTACCTCAGTTCTCCTCCTTGCCAAAGTTCTGAGAGCTGCCTGCAGCCAGCCCCAGGAAGACGTTACAGCAGCTTGTAATTCACTGTATTACAGTTATACTCCCCTTTTAAACAAATCACTCTGAAAAACAGTCTGTGTTTTCTCCAGGAAAGTTGTTATAGGGTTTTCTCCGGGTTCTTCTTTTTATTGCTGCAAATAAATAGATTATCACACAGCTGCTGTAGGTGGAGGCTCTGTGATTGTAAAGGGAGTGCCCTTGTAAATGGAAAGAAACAGGGATATGTAAGATTAACTGCTATAGGTAAGAAAACATCACAGAATCACTCTTTGGGAGACTATTTGTTGGATTCATCAGATCATGCTTATTCAACAGTTAGGCTATTAGGACCTAGCCTATGTCCTATGCAAGCCAGGATGCTGCTAAGAGAGGCGGCTTTTAAGACAAACCAATGCCATGGCATTTGGGCATGGGCTGGCAACAGGAATCTACAAAGCTGAAGGCATTTGGATTTGTGATTTTGCCAGGGTTCAGCTCACATGCAGATTGGGATTCAAGCTTCCCTGAAATTCAGCCCTTTGGGGATGGTAATGAAAAGTTGCTAGCTGTAATTACATCCATGTGGGTGCTTTCTCCTAATTACGAGGCTCAGCACTCCATCAGCCCCACGTTTCTAATACACAGCTGCTGATAATCTCTGGAAATACATTTTGGATACAATCTATTCCTTATGCGGTATCTGCCCTATTGCATCTAAATGGAAAGCAGGCGTGAGGCCATGCTAGGAGCGTGGCAGGGCATCAGGCTGCTTCCTTACCTACCTGCCTTACCCCAGGCTGCAACATCACCTGCCCCATGGGCCGCGTGAACGCCGACTGCGATGCATGCATGTGCGAGGATGTGACCCTGCATGGGAAGGTCTCCTTGGAGGATGGTTCACCCGCAGACAACGCCCGGGTCTACCTGCAAGCCAACAATCTCAAGCTGTTGACGACAGCTGACAATAAGGGCACGTTTAGGATTCCTGGGGTCTGTCCCGATGGCAGCAACACCCTCAAAATAAAGAAAGCCAAATACACGACCGCAGCCATCACTGTACCAGAGACCAACAGGAAGAACCTGGCGCTCCAAGTGCAGCTGAAGAGATCAGGTACAACTATAGAGATAGGGAAGCCCAGCACCTTTAAGAGCAACTAACAAAAATAAGAGTAATGAGGCTGTCTTTCATCCCACTGCAGGCAAACCCTATGTTTTCAAGAGCCCTGATGACAAGGCGAGGAGAGTGGGGCAGAGCGTGTCACTCTGCTGCAATGCTGTGGGGACTCCGGCCCCAGATCGCTATCTGTGGTAAGAAACTCCCATTGATCCCATACCACCTGGCAGAAGGGCAGAAAGCTGGAGCTGTGCGCCCAGGCGAACCTCATGAGGCTCAACAAAGCCAAGGGCAAGGTGTTGCATTGGGTTGCAGCAACAGCTGCTATCAATACAAGCTGGCTATAAAAAGAAGGGGACAGAATTCATCAGGGTCTGACGTGAGAGGACAAGGAGAAATGGTTTCAAACTAAAATGGGAGATTGCACTGGATGTAAGAAAAAAGTTGTCTCCAATAAGGGCTGTGAGGCACTGGCACAGGCTGCCCAGAGGGGTGGTGGGTGCCCCATCTCTTGGGACACTCAAGGTCAGGCTGGATGGGCTCTGAGCACCTGACGGAGCTCTAGGTGTCCGTGCTCATTGCAAAGCAGTTGGACAAGATGGTCTTTAAGGGTCCCTTCCAACTCCAACGATCCCATTAATTTTGTTGATTTGTACCTCCTTTCCATCTCCATAAAGCTGGACTGTTTTTTTTTTAAAGCATAAATACACTGAGAACCCCGTGCTACAAATGATCATTTCCTGCACGTTTGCAGAGCTGGCATTTCTCGCAGGTGCAGTAATATAATCTGCAGAGGGACTTAATGGAAAAAACACCCAGATAGGAGTTTCAAAAACCTTGGCAGGCATGACTGACAGCTGTGTCTGGAATGGGTTTTAGGGGAAGCCCCTGCAAGAATTTGCAGCATGAGTAGCACCCCATGCAACGCAGTGGGGAGATGCTTTTAAGCATGACCACAAGTCTGAAAGGGCAGCTCCTGGGACAGGGCTGCTCCATGATATAAGTGGTGTAACAGAGGGAGGAGGTGTGGCAAAATCCACACAGACAGGATCTGGGCCCTGCTCTGCCCAAGCCATGCGGTCAGGCCTCTGTCCCATTAACCATCTGCCTGTTCCTGGCAGGTACCACAATGGCTCCCTGCTGGATCCTTCTATATATAGATACAAAAACAACCTCATTCTGAAGAACCTGAACAGAGGGCAGGCAGGAGAATATTTCTGCAAGGCCATCAGTGATGGAGGTTCAGCAAAATCCCAACCTGCCACGCTTTCTGTAATAGGTAAGAGAAAACGTGTGTGATTTGCTCCAAGCAGCAGGGGTACAGAAAGTGCTCAGAAATTATGACCCATGCATGAAAGGAAAGGTGCAGGAAAAACATTCAGGTGCTATTTTACGCACCCATTAGCAGATAAGCCTGACTGTGCTGGTTATCAGCCAGCTGCTCGCTACAATCCGGAGCTCTGGGTTTCAGAATGACCTGCCAAACTTAATCCACTGGGCAGCCATTTCTCACTGTAATCACTGCCCAGCGTGTGAATATTTCTGTTTCTTTTTTAAATCCTGGGACCCATTTAAGTCTGTTCATAGCCAAGAAGCCAGGCAGCTGCTGAGCATGTAGCTGGTAAGCAGGAGCTGGGACACTCCTGCAAACAGCACTGCTCTTAATCAGGTGCCTTAAACTAAAGCTGAGCACCTGCTGCAGTGTAACAAAGGCCAGATGAATCCAGCTAACCAAAATTCTGCAAACCATCTGTTTTATTGCTGCAAAAGCCTCCCTGTGATTGGAAGCAATGTTTAGCTCAGAGGGTTTCTGACCACATACAGATGACTGTACAATTATTTCATGCTGCTCATTAAGAAATGCTATTCAACAGGAAAACAAGAGGCAGCCTGCAGCTCCCAGCCCCAAAGCCACCTCATTCGTCTTCCGCACGACTGTTTCCAAAAAGCAACTGACTCGTTCTACTACGACGTGGGCAAGTGCCCAGCAAGGACCTGCGTTGGGAAGCTGGATAAGGGACTCCGCTGTAAGGACAACATCTCCTACTGCTGTGGGGTGTCTAAGATGGAAGTGAGAGAGATCCTGTGCGATGGGTACACGCTCCCCACCAAAGTCGCCGTAGAATGCGGTTGCAAAAAATGCACCGAGACAAAAATAACAGTTCGGGGCAGAGCTACAGCGGTGGATAATGGTGAGCCACTGAGGTTTGGCCACATCTACATGGGGAACAAGAGAGTGAGTATGACTGGCTACAAGGGAACCTTCTCCATCCACGTCCCACCGGATACTGAAAGACTGGTTCTAACCTTCGTTGATCGGCTGCAGAAGTTTGTGAACACAACAAAAGTTTTGCCGTTCAAGGAAAATGGAGGTGCTGTGTTTCATGACATTAAGTTACTACGAAAGAAAGCCCCTGTTACACTGGAATCCACTGAAACCAGTGTAATTCCCTTGGGAGAAAAGGAAGATGAGGATCCTATTGCTGAATTAGAAATCCCTCCTGATTCATTTTACAGGAAGAATGGAGAACCTTACAGAGGAAAAGTGAAAGCCAGCGTGACATTTCTGGACCCAAGAGAACTCTCAACAGCGCCAGTGACACAAAGCGACCTGAACTTTGTAGATGACGAAGGAGATGTGTTCCCGCTCCGCACGTATGGCATGTTTTCCCTGGACTTCACTGATGAACAGGGCACCGAGACTCTTAATGCAGAAGATGTGAAGGTCCACTTGGACACTGCTCAGGTGAGGATGCCAGAGCACATACAAGAAATGAAGCTTTGGTCACTGAACCCTGAGACAGGCTTATGGGAGGAAGAGGGGGACTTCAACCTGGAGAAGAGCAGACGGCGCAGAAGAGAGGAGAGGACTTTTTTGGTTGGGAACATGGAGATCAAGGAAAGGCGGCTTTTTAACCTGGACGTCCCAGAGAGCAGACGGTGCTACGTCAAAGTCCGAGCATACAGAAGCGAGAGATTTTTGCCAAGCGAGCAGATCCAAGGGGTGGTGATTTCTGTTATAAACACGGAGCCAGAACCAGGGTTCTCCTCCAACCCTAGAGCATGGGGCCGTTTTGACAGCGTGGTCACTGGTCCCAACGGTGCTTGTGTGCCAGCTTTCTGTGACGAGCAGAACCCAGAGGCCTATGCAGCTTACATTTTGGCGAGCTTGGGGGGTGAAGAACTTGAAGCAGTGCCATCTGCTCCCAAACTCAATCCTAATGCCATTGGCGTCCCACAGCCATATCTCAACAAGCTCAACTACAGGAGAACAGACCACGAGGATCCTAACACAAAGAAAACCGCATTCAGAATCAATATGGCCAAGCCAAGTCCAAATTCTGCAGATGAGAACAATGGCCCTATTTATGCCTATGAAAATCTGAAAGAATGTGAGGAAGCTCCATACAGCGCTGCTCACTTCAGGTTTTACAGGATAGAGGGAGATCGGTACGACTACAATACTGTTCCCTTCAGTGAAGATGACCTCATGAGCTGGACCGATGACTATCTGGCATGGTGGCCCAAACCCATGGAATTTAGGGCTTGCTACATAAAAGTCAAAATTAATGGACCCCAAGAAGTGAACATAAGGTCTCGCAACATGGGTGGGACGCATCCACGCACCATTGGCAGGCTCTATGGCATCAGGGACGTCCGCAGCATTCGGGATCCTGAGCAGCAGGACGTGTCAGCAGCCTGCCTGGAGTTCAAGTGCAGTGGCATGCTCTTCGACCAAGACCGTGTGGATCGCACGCTTGTGAAAGTCATCCCACAAGGCAGCTGTCGCCGGGAGAGCGTTAACAGCATGCTCCACGAGTACCTGGTGAACCACCTCCCCATGGCTACCAACAACGATTCCAGTGAATACACAATGCTGGCACCCCTTGACCCCCTGGGGCATAACTATGGCATCTACACCGTCACCGACCAGGACCCGAGGATCGCCAAGGAAATTGCTTTGGGCAGGTGTTTCGATGGCACATCAGATGGCACCTCCAGAATCATGAAGAGTGATATCGGTGTTGCGCTGACTTTCACCTGTTCGGAGAGGAGCGCAGCAGAGCAAAGCTTATTTGAGTCCCAGAGGAACTTAGGCCAGCAGTCCATGCAGTTACCACCAAGGGAGAGCCCTGCATACCAAAGGCCGGTGGGAAGCCGCCAGATCACCCAAAGCAGAATCCAGATGAGAGGTCAACGTCCTTCTTCATACTAGAGCTATAGAGGAGCCTAGGTAAAGTCACTCACGTTTGATTAAAAAAAAAGCATCTACCTGCAAATAGCCTAATTCAAAGCAGGCAGATGTCAGCATTTTTGAGACATTATATTCCCCTCCCACTCCCTTTTTTTTTTTAGTTTTATTTTTGCATTGCACCACAAAGGAAAGATATAAGGCAGTTCTTGTAAGTGAATTCCTGCCTTACTAACAGCATCAAAAAAATCTGAGATAAAACAACTTCACCTGATAGCCTAAAGGGAAGACTAAACACACAGTTCAATTAAGTCACATACACAAGACATCCTCCTATTCTGCATTTGCAAACTTTGCCAGCCCAAGTACCTGTACAGTAGTTGGTAACATGAAAAGGAATAAACTGATTTTCCCATACTGAATTCAACTGCAAGGTTTTGTACTTGAAATGTAAGTATTTTATTTATTTCTAGCTTGTTTTAGAACGATTGTATTCGAGCTAAACTACCACCAGCTGCATTTCTAAGAAGTCACATGCTTGAGAGCACAGAGAAGCCATATGGATTTGTAGGCTCCGCATGGATAAAATTAGTTTTCTCTTGCTTCTTGCATGGTTTTTCTTCTCAAGTAATGCTCTACAACAGGGTAGATGAATTAAAAAAAAAAAAAAAAAAGCCATTTTGTGTAATTTTGGCAATGCTATATTACCTTTGTGTTTGACATGCCCAAGTAAATAAACCATGTGTAGAGCTGACCAAAGAACAACCTACAAAATTTCACTTCTCAATGTGAGACTGACACTGGGTACTGGAAAGGGATTTGGTGGGCAGCTGCTGCTCCCAAGTCCAAGGCTTTGCCCCAGAATGCTGCAGTCAGGGAATCAGTCTCCAACTTGCAAGCAGCACCACATCCACGAGATTAAAAGGGGCAGCAAGTGCTGGGAGGTCAGGGCAAGGGGTGCCTAAAAGGGAGCAGCAGAGTTCCTAGAGTTTGAGAGCACTGGGAAGGAAAAAGGCTGGGGACAAGTGTTTTAAAGATGACAGAAAATTTAGGTAACACATAAACACAGATGGCCACAGAAGAGGTCAGAGTGTGACCAAACTCCAAGAGCTCTACTTAATAGTGCCCTACAAAACCCCACAGCCTTTGTGCCACTACTTGTAGGGAGGAATCTGGGATCTCACCAGCACAGAGCACATCCCAGGTTTGCACCCAAACATACCTGGCAAACTTTTTTGGAGCAGGTAAGCCAACAGGCCTCCAGCACTCAAATC